AAGTATCACTTGCACACGATTTAATTTTGCGCAGTTTGTACTGCAGACATCTCCCCTTCCCCATTACGTCCTCTCCATAAAGAAGAGAAAAAAAAAACATATTTATCGATTATATCAAAAAAGCGTGTGTTGTTAATCAAAACTCTCTTGAAAGGAACCGCTATCTACGTTAACAACCGTGATTTATGAATTTTCACTACACTTGCTAATCTCCATAAATTGTTTGGGGAATCATCGCAACATCTACTTTAATATTGATTTAATTTATTATTATTAATTTAAATTGCTAAAAAGGAAGATTCCTTCGTACATAAATAACTTTCTGAGGAGAGCACCATGGCTATTGCAGAAACAAGTGCGCCTGCAAAAATTTCATCCTCATTCTTCAGTCCTCGGTCACCGATTTGTTATGAATTATGCTTAGCGGATTACGGTAATCTATGTAGGGTATAATTTACAAGCTTTTAAGGGAAGCCTCCTTTTGTATCCGTTATGTAATGTGCAATTGCACCTGTGAGAAATTCAATACCCACTTTTATTTCTTGTGCTACTTAGCTGTTTCCCTCGACTCGAAAATAAGAATTTAAGTAAAATCTATGGCAGCTAAGTTTTGTTACCCAAGCTATGAACTACCGTTATTGGATTCTGTAGGAGTTGCAGACTAAAACTTCACCAAATCCGTTTCATCAAACAAGAAAAAAAAAAGAAAACCAGACTTGCGTTCATAACTTTAGTCTTTTTGGCCTATTATAACTTTGGAGCATGGTGGGTACATTTCTTACTAGAAGTTAGTACAATTTCATAACGTGGTCTTCGTGTTACATATAGCCCACACAGAGTTGACCCCAACGACAACGAAAACTGCGCCATTCGACATAAACCTCAAATTACATACCTGAAGCCGCTAACGTATCCATGGTTGGGAAACGTTTTCGTACTTGCATGGAAATGTCTCGTAGCACCAATGCTTGGCATAGCACCATGTATCTAAACAATACTTTCTAACCATAGGACATGAAAAATGTCTTAAGAAATTTTTTTAAAAT